GCTCCAAGTGAACTCCTTTATGTCTGGGTTCAAAAATCACATTTTTGAAGCTTGAATGTGGGACTTGATCTCATGTACTCTACAAGATCATCTGGGGCATCATTATAATTTCCTCCAATGATCAAGTGTGCTTCCTTATATTTGTTTTTAAGGGCTTCTGGTTTCATACAAAGTTGTACAAATGTCATTTTTGCTTGAGATGTATTGTTGTAAGTATAAAATTGCAAATTATAAAGAAGGAGATGTCTAAAACTAAGATGATCCTTCCACCCTCATCTGAGGTTAGAGATTTAACAAAGTCTCCTTTAAACTTGTTAAGAATAATGGCGACACCTGCTGATTGTTGAGAGGCATCACAGAAATAACATCGATCACCCCATTCGGCTTTCCAAAACTTCACATCACTGTCCACTGAGTGAGTCTCTTATACAAATATCAATATTTCATCTACTGAACATAAAGACTGATTTCTTTTTGGAAAAATATAAATGTACTGTTTATCTAATGATGGGCGGGAGCTTTTATCCTGTATTGGGCGTCCGACCCTGTCCACCGTGAATCCAAGCTTGTTCTTCAGAAGATGGTGATTCCATCTCCGGCTGTATCACTCTAACTCCTCTTTTTTTCTCCCACAGGGCTGTCATCTGGTCATTCATCTTCTTCACTCTGTCATCTCTTCCCTTCCGCTGGATTTCCACCACTTTCACATTTGATGTATTTGTACTTACCATTTCTTCAAATTTTGATGAACCATCATTGAGGCTGTTATTGGCTTTTACGATGTCAGCATTGAAGACCATCTTCTTTTATGCAGAACTTTTTGGGATTTGGATTTTTAACCAGAATTTCTTATGGTGTTTTTATATGTAAGTATGTACGAATGTGTGTATGCATGTGTGGGCATGTATTTTTGTGGGTAATATTCGGACCCTGAGTCTGTAATGAAGTTTTGATTGATTTTTGTGGGAGTGTCGAGTAGAGGTTCAAATACCAGAGAATGAGTTTCAACATCTATCTCCATTATCAGGCCTCCTTGTTTCATTTTCCTGGCATCTCTCTTGGACATCTTAGCGCACATGTCCCGGTTGTTAACAAAACTTTGGTTAACAGCAAACAGTTCGTAGGCCAGTCGGCTGACCGAAGTCCATGTTGTGACATTTGTTCAGATGTATAAACTTACTTGATGCAATTTTCAACTCCTTCATTTATCATTAAAATAGTCTCAATAAGTCATTTTAAACCACTGGTAATCAGAATCTAAGAGCTCAGATTAAAGAACTGTAAGAGTCTCCATCTTGTCTCCATTCCCTGTGAATCCATTTTCGCATTTCAGTTGTTAACCTGCTGTGATTTTCACTGCAGGAAGATAAAGAGACACCTCACTGAGCCTTTGGCAGCTTCAAACTGCATCAGTACAGAGAGATTTAAATATATGTAATATCACACAGACAGTTTGTTCTCAGGAGTCACACCCTGTAACACTGATGCTGCATTCAGTTCACATGGGAAAGAAGAGTTTCCAGATCTCAAATTCTTCAAGTATTCATATCAGCTCTCAGGTTGTAAATTAAGGAGGTGGGCAAAACAAAAAGGGGAATGGACCCAGAATGCAGACACTAAGGCTGAGCAGGTACAGTTTACAGTGTTATTTAGGCAATGGTGAAAAAACCTAAGCAAAAAAACAAATTTGGTCTGCCAAACGAATAACAAACAACTAAATGTAGTTATAGATTTCTTTACAAAGTCAGAACAAAATATCTCTGATGACGGAAAGTCTGCTGCTTTTTAGACCCATGCAGTGGAAGAAAAACATACAAATACATCAAGATAAATAAATCAAGAAATTCCCCGTGCAGAGTAACAGTCAGCTGTTGATAGGTCGCAGAATTTAGCAATGTAAAATCAAAAACAAGTTGCCACACACTGAAATGACTTTATTATTTGATTGACTTTACTACTTCAGCTTCACATTGTGTGAACTTGAAGAAGTGTAACTCAACTTGGCATCAGCACCTGACTGTTGTTGCTGTGCAACAACTTGTTTTCTATTAATGGAAACACTGCTGGGGGTTTTCTTGCCCCGGGTTACACGGCACTTTACGGACCATTATATGTATATATTATTATAATGAGCACCTAAACCAAGTATTTTGCCCGTCTTTCCATTTTCATGCAGAGAAATGTCATCATGACTAGTGATGGCCTCCACGGCTAAACAGACACAGGAACGAGCGCCACCTAAAGAAACTCAAACATTTACACACTGACACAGTTTAAAACTGCTAACATGGTGTTTTTCAGCAGCACAGGCTTCGGTCTGAAGATCTGCCTACACTGAGGGCAGCTGTGGATTTTCATCCCAGTGGGTTTTAATACAGTTCATGCAGTAGCTGTGTCCACAGGGAATAGTCACCGGATCCTTCAGTAGATCCAGACAGATGGAACAAAAGATTGCTTCTCTGTCCAGCTTAACTCTTTTATGCGTTATTCCTCTTCTCAGTGAGAGTGCAGATCAGGTGGAACTTAATGTGTTTGAGAAAGAGGGAAGGGTTTTTGGACTTTACCGCATTCCACAAAGAGTTGCTTTTTGGGAGAGACAGGGTGTTTTATCTGTCATTTTACAACATTACGTACAACGTTAAAATCTTCCTATTGAGCTATGGTTAGCAGCACTACCATGTTATTAATATTTGTGTACATCGGATCATTATATTTTCTGATTTGTAACAGAGTGCGCAAAGTGTTAGTGTTCAGTTCTCATCTCATTAAAGGATTCAAGTTTTATTGTTCAGTGTCAACAATTATTCACACAAAAGCATCGATGTGAGATAATACAGATGATATTAGTTATAAACTACAAGGAAAACCAATCATTTCTTTTACTTTAACATTTTTCTACTTACAGAAGTTTTGACCAGCCCATCCTCCCCAGAAAAATAAACATATGTCGATTATGCAGCAGCTTATTACGACCCATATTTACGTTTTTGTTAGGCTGTGACCTCTAGGAGCAGAATAAGTCAGGCGATGTAGCATAAAGAGCTACAATGTTCATGTAAGAAGGGCAATGGATGAGTTATGTAAGATAAGAGCTTTAACTTAAGAGCCCGAGGGTTGAGTCTTGTTTGAATCGAATGTCAGAATTTACATGTTTAGAACGTTTTGTAGATTACTGACAGAATAAAAAGATCATCATCAACAAAAGACAGAAGCTTTGTGAAGTTTACCTGTCAACCAAGAACATGTGAGAAGCTGGAAAATGCCAGAAACCACAAGACTCTGGTACAGAGAGTCAAACTTTAAAGATGTTTCTTCCTTAAACTCTTGGAGATATTTTCAGTGAACTCTTTGGAATTACCTGTATTTCTGAATAAATTGGTCATAAAATGTGATCTGATCCTCACCATCGAGTCACCACAATAGACAAACACAGTCTGCTTAAAATAATACCACATAAATGGAATGGTTTATGGAAAGGGTTACAGAAGTATCTCTAAAAGCCTTGATCTTATCAGTCCACAGTAAGAAAGACAAATCATTCTATGAAGAGAGAAAGTTCTGCACTGTTGCTACTCTCTCTAGGAGTGGCTGTACTGCAAAGATGACTGCACGAGTACAGTGCAGAATGCTCAGTGAGGTAAAGAAGAATTCTTGAGTGTCAGCTGAAGACTCATAGAAATCTGTGGAACAAACTAACATCCCTCTTGCAAATCTACGATACGTAAAACACTGCACAAGAATGGAGTTCATGGGAGGACAGCACGGAGGAAGGCACTTCTGTCCAAAAAAACATTGCTGCACGTCTGATGTTTGCAAAAGAGCACCTGGATGCACTACTGGCAAAATATTCTATTGACAGATGAAACCAAAGTTTGGAAAGAACACACAACCATATGTGTTGAGGAAAAAAGACACAGCAACATCAAAAGCTCATCCCAACTGTGAAGTATGGTGGAGGGGACATCATGGTTTGAGGCTGCTTTGCAGCCTCAGGGCCTGGAAGAGTTGCCATCAGACAGCAAAATGAATTCCAAAGTTGATCAAGAAATTTGGCATGGGAAGGTAAGGCCATCTGTCTGCTAATTGAAGATAAACAGAAGATGGATGATGCAACAGGACAATGACCCAAAGCACAGAAGTAAAACAACAACAGAACAGCTTCAGCAAAAGAAAACATGCCAATTTAATACAAATCCAATTTATGCAGAAATCCAGGTTCATCCAAAGGGTTCACAACCTTTTCCTGTGACTATATTTACAACCTTTAGTTTAAAGGCGTCAAAGAGGTGACAGCTACAGAGCTACAGTTTGAACCCTATACATATCTCAGGACAGAACATCTGTTCTTTCCTGTGTTTTGGCCCAGAAATAGGCCTTTTGTGTACATAGAGAAAGTCTTAGATCTTTGAGTTCAGCTCATGATGAATGGGGGCAAAAACAAAAGTGTTGCATTTATAATTTTGTTCATTGTATTAATACTTGGTGCAATGTGCTGATAGTGTTTCACAAAAAGTAGTGCTGCACTATCTTGGCACATTACTTCTGTATGTTATGAAGAAGGTTTCACACAGCAGAGGCTCATTGTAGTGAAGGTAAATAATTAAAGTGTCTAGAAGTTCTTCAATGTAGATTTTCCTCTGTACTGAAAATAAGAAACAGCAGGTGGAGCCAGACACACATACAGACATCAGTTAAACGGCCATCACTACTGTTATTATTGAACCAGGTCAGTGAATGCACCTTGGCCTCCGAGCGAGTGTTGGTTGTTAAAAAGCAACAAGTGACAGAAAACTCTGCTCATTTCTCTGTGACAAAGCTGTTTTAGTGAAGAAAGCTGAAAGGACAAAGACTGACTGACAAATGCTCTTCTGCTCTAAACATGAGCTCTGTACTTTGTGGCGTTTCAGGAGGAAAACTGCCTCAGTTATACTCTCATATTAGTTTCACATTTTCTCCATCAGCTCTGTATGATACCCTGGAATGAAGACAGGAAGGAAAGACTTTGTTCATGTTTGTTTATTCATCATGTAAACCTTCAGTTTGTTCACACATCCCATCAGTAACGTCTGTTAAATGACTCTTGTTCAATGATTTCAGGTACAGATTCACTTCATCCACACAATCAGTGGGTTTGAGCAGAATCTCAGCTCCGTCAAAGAAAAGAATGAAGCATCTCCTTATTGATTATCATCATGATATTACAGTTTAATAATACAAACATTGAACATTTAGAGCACAGATATTTTTTCCAGGTAATAGGTTTATACCCAACTGAAAACATAGTAACGTAAATTGTATTTCATTTCTGTCAATAGATCCCTCTTAATATTGCTCATTGAACCTTTAAATGACTTCTGACTATTTGACTTTACAGAACTCAGCGGTGCCTCCAGAATAAAACCAAAGTCCAGCATAGAGAGGCTGAGTGAATGTGGTCTGGACTCTGTGGAGGAGAGTCATGGTTTTAGAGATGCTGTAGAAGGACAGAATACCTGCACTGTGATCCAGGTACACTCCTACTCTGGAGGACTGAGGACCTGAGACGGGAGTTTGGATATCATTGTACCGAAACTTATAACTGTCTTTGTCACATCTGAACGCCCAAGATTTGTCATTGTATCCAAATATACATTCATTCGACCACCCTGCTCTGCTGATATTCTTGTATGCAACTGCCACATAAACTCCTGCCCCTCTCCATTCCACCTCCCAGTAACAACGTCCAGACAGACTCTCTCTACTCAGGACCTGACAGAAAGAAGTGAATCTGTCTGGGTGACTAGAATAAGACTGTTGTTGCCACATTTCTGTTGCTTTTCTGTTCCCCTCAGATAATAACAGACGTGCATGTGCTGTATTTGGATCCAGTGTGATTTCACGTGAATATTCTAAGAATCCAGCTCTGGTCTTGGGTTCTGGTTCTGACAGTGAGATGTTTGTCCATGTCTCTCTCAGAACGTCCTGTAGTTTGTCTCTGACTTCTAACACAGCCGCTGTCACATCCTCAAAGTAGCGCAGAGGACGGACCTTGATGCTGGATGTGTCTGTAGATTCACTGAGTGCTGACAGTGAGGGGTAGTTGTGTAGAAACTGGGTGTGATCCTCTGTGAGTGAGAGCTGCTTCAGCTCAGTGTCTTTCCTCTTCAGCTCAGTGATCTCCTGCTCCAGCTTCTCCTGAAGCTCTTTGACTCGACTCACTTCAGTGTCCTGCTGGGATCTGAGCTGCCGCTTCACATCGGACCTTCTTTTCTCCATCAGACGGATCAGCTCAGTGAAGATCTTCTCACTGTCCTCCACTGCTTTATCAGCAGAACCATTGATAACCTCCACCTCCTGCTGAAGCACCTTCACCTCTTTCTCTCTGTCCTGGATTCTCTGCTGGATGTTTTGGCGATTCACCTCCAGGAGCTTCTTGGAGGGCTCCACCAGCTTGTGTTTTTTAAATGTAGGCGATTCATAATGAGGCTGCAGGTGTTTCTCACAGTAAGAGGCCAGACAGACCAGACAGAACTTGAGGGCTTTCAGTTTTCTCCCAGTGCAGACATCACAGGCCACATCTTCAGGTCCAGCATAGCAGTGATCAGCAGGAGCAGCTTGGAGTCCAGTCTTCTTCAGTTCCTCCACTAAAACTGCTAACATGGTGTTTTTCAGCAGGACAGGCCTCGGTGTGAAGGTCTGCCTACACTGAGGGCAGCTGTGGATTTCCCTTTCATCCTCTGCATCCCAGTGGGTTTTAATACAGTTCATGCAGTAGCTGTGTCCACAGGGAGTAGTCACCGGATCCTTCAGTAGATCCAGACAGATGGAACAAGCGAATGTTTCCTGATCCAGCTGAACTCCTTTCTGCGCCATTTCACCTCTCGTGGCAACGAGACAGTCGTCTCAGGAAGTGATACTAGTTTGAACTCTGATCTAAGCAGGATGTTTTTCTGCAGTGAATGGGGCCTACCAGCTCCTGCACTTCACCACATGTTGGTAACACTCATCTTGAAAGTGTAGATCTGAAGGGGAGGGAACAAGTAAATACATAGATAGAGTGGAGCTCGCTGTGTGGGAGAGCAGGAAGCAGAGGGAGGGGTCATCAAGCTGACATTCATTTACAGCGAAGCCTCCGTTAAAACCTGCTCTCCATTTGAAAACATGAAAGTTTTTAGGTGTAAAATCCTTCGTGGCTCCTCAAGCTTTGCTGATGACTCCATATTTTTATAAGATGGCACAGATTTTATTCATATAGTTTCTCCGCAGCAGTGGTGTGAGGAGAGTGTGTTTAATTTAATTTATCATCACTGGATCCTCTGTAGAAACTGTCAGGAGTTTAAATATCTTGGAGCTGTGAACTTCGACAACAAGAAGTTTATGGCTTGTCCTTTCTCAATGCTGTATTTAAGGCGTTGTGGGGAAGCTCCAATAGGGAAGATCTGCCGTAGCACCCGGGCATGATATCCCTCCATAAGCTTCCAGTTAATTCAGACAAGATTGGGCTGATCTAAGCTCTTTGAGATCTGAGCAAATGTAGTGGTGGTACTCTTGGGTGTACCAATGGCCAGCGGAGTAATTAGCAGGAGAAATGCCAGCCTAAGAGAAAATGTGGTGGAACTGCTGGTGGAACCAGAATCAAGTGGCCATAATACCGGACTCAGAGAGGAACGGTCATGGTTGTGCTCTAGGATTACCAAAGATGCAAGTAATTTGCGAAGGACAATTTAGTGTCACCAATTAACCTGGTCAGCATGTCTTTGGACAGTGGGAGAAAGCCAGAGGACAGAACACCATGGTGTCTTTGAGAAATGGGACAGGTCTCAACTGCAGGCGAAACGGAAGGTAGTTGAAGTAAAGGGCAGATGAAAGCAGAAGATCTGAGGAAGGCAAAGAAAGCAAGTTTCAACATGGCTTCTAAGGTTTGAGACACATGAGGGATGCTGTATCCAGCACAGATGGGGTGGATGCAGATGGACAGCAAGTCTGCCGTGAGAGGAGGGCGGTGGGGGTCTTGAGCTGGCTCTTGACATTCAAGACCTCTAAGAAGATGCCAGTTAGGAGTTTGGAAAAGAAAAGAATGCTGCTGAGATATACTTTGATGGTGTGCGTTTTGATGGCCATTACGGAATGGGCGTAGCTTAAGAAAGACGACATGGTGACAAGATCGAATGATGGGAAGGTTATGTTGTGCTGGTTATAACAATGGCGGAAACTCTTCCAAGCTGAGATTATGGAATTGTGGGAGTCGACAATTAGGGGTATTAGGGCAGGATTTGGATGTTGAACGTCATGGCAGGTAATATGGTGGAATTGGTGTTGAATGGGTATCTGCATGGATATGAATACTGAATTTAGAGTGACCAGACCTATAACACTGGTGGTGATGAGGGAGGGGAAATTATGAGGAAGTCATCCAAAAGATGGACGGCAATTGGAATCTTGTGCGACGCTTGCACTTGCTGGATGCTGTACTCAAGATGTTGTGGGGAATCAACAAAAGGGAAGCTCTGCTGTAGCACCCGTGATTGATGTGTGGTCCTGCACCTGTAACTCTGCTAATTAGCTCAACTACATCCCAGGTTAGCAGGATGAAAGCGGCCTCTTATGTTACGTATCGTTTTTTTATTCTTTCAATAACTTTATTTAGAATTTAAGTCAGTCATCCAAGTTCATGAACATAAATTATAGAGTTGATATAATATAATGATAAAAAAAAAAGAGAGAGATGAATAAATTAGACAACAGAACGTATTTCTTATAAGTAAACAGTTCTCCGGGGATAAGGGTCATTGAAATGCTTTTCTGATTCGTTACAAGTTTACTCAACTGAATCAAAGTACATACAGTATCAATTTATATTAAAAATAACTTAAAACATGGGCTAGACTTCCCTAATATAATAAAGAGATTTACAATAGAACATAAGTTCTTATACTTACATTCAAATTAGGTAATTACATTTTTCCGTTGATTGCATGTGTTGTTTTGGTATGTAATTCTCAAAGTCCTTCCAGAATGTGAAACAGAATGAACGGTAATAGATAAGATTCTGTCATATTTTCTTGTTTTGTCTTTCAAAAGGTGCAATTGTCATCAACACGCATAAATTTCGAGATATATATGTTTGTTGAATTTTTTTTATACAATATTTTCAAGTGTAATTCTCTACCTTTGTTTGTAATATAAAATCAAGCAAGCCACGCCCTGTGCCAGTCATTATCAGTAAAATGAGAAGTCCAAAAAAATTTCTACGGGGTGTATTGTCTTTACATTTTGATATTTCAGTTAATTTAATTTAGGATAGAAGTTAAGCTATTGATGATTATAGTAGCAGTCCTTTGCAGATATGAATACCTACATATTTTACAGTTTTCTTAACAGATATATAATTTTTTTCCCTCAGTCTGATACAAACTTCTAATTTCACATTTAGATTTGTTAAGTATTAAACCGGAAGCCGATGAAAATTGGTCAATTAGGGACACAATATATTCAACCTGATATTTGTCCCTTAGATAAAGAGCTGTATCATCAGCAAACTGTGTCAACTCAACGTCCTTACCAAAAATGGACGTACCATTAGTAATTGGATTATGTTGAATATGTAATAAAAGTAATTGAACCACCAGCAGGAACAAAAAAGGGGAAATCAGAAAGCCCTGGTGAACTGATCTCAGTACAGGAAGTCTTTTTTCTGGTATTTGGGTAAAATATAACACAACTGTTGATATTTTTATAAAACATTAAAGATAAAATATTGGTCCAAAAATGTGGACTGACAATCAATATATAATATCAGTGTGTTGGGATTGATGTTATCAGAATATTCCAGCAAGTGTACAACAAGTCTTATATTATAGCTTAGTTAGACATAAAACCTGTTTGTGTTTCATTTATGATGCTATGAAGCCCATTTTTCAACCGCTTTCCAAAAATTAAGGACAAAATTTTGTAATCAATGTTCAAGGGCGTAACAGGTCTCCAGTTTTCCATCAGTACATGAAGGCTTGCTCCATTCTTGAGGACATTTCCTTTTTGATAGTGCATTCTTTGAATAATTCAAATAAAAGGACTTTCAATAATGTCCCAAAAATGTAAATAAAATTCAAATCAAAGCCCATCATTGCCTGGAGATTTCTCCTTCTTTATTGAGCAAACAGCCTCAAAGATTTAGATTTGTAATAGGTCTTTCACATTTCAATGTCCAGAAATAGTCAGTGTGAATTCTTTAACAGACTCAAATCTATCATAATCACTGACCTGAGTATTTTATGAAATACTCTCATTTTTCAAAAATCACCAAACATCTATGAATGACAGTTGTTCACAGATAAATGCAGTATTTTTGAATCTTGAATGTGGGACTGATCTTACAGGTAGGCTACTCTATCTACAAGATCATCCAATGATCAAGTGTGCTTCCTTATATTTGTTTTTAAGGGCTTCCGGTTTCATACAAAGTTGTATAAATGTCATTTTTGCTTGAGATGTATTGTTGTAACTATAAAATTGCAAATTATAAAGAAGGAGATGTCTAAAACCAAGATGATTCTTCTACCCTCATCTGAGATCGGAGATTTAACAATGTCTCCTTTAAACTTGTTAAGAAGAATGGCGACACCTGCTGATTGTTGAGAGGCATCACAGAAATAACATCGATCACTCCATAGTGCTTTCCAAAACTTCACATCACTGTCCACTGAGTGAGTCTCTTGTAAAAAAAAAATCAATAGCTGCGTTTCGACCAACAAAAAACTACAACCTGGAACTAGGAATCTTTGGAGGAATTGACTGCATTTTCACGCAGGGACCTGGGTCTAAATGTATGTTTATTTTACCCCCCAAAAAGTCCCTGCTCGGGGTGTAGTACTTTCCAAAAGTACCCGTTCTTTGGGGAGGGTGGGGCTTGCTTTGCAGTGAAATTCAGAATAGGCAAGTAGAGGCTACTGGCTTTGACTGGAGAATGTTGAGTGTTTTTCTGCTACTGCTCCTCTCATTTCCACCGTTGTTTGCAAACCAATAAATCACAATCAACAGTCAGATAGCCACACAAGTCTCGCTGATGTCCTGAGTTAAAAAGTCAGCATTAAATGGATAGCTTGGAAATAGCAGCCAGTGTGCTGCAGTGTGTTTTTACAGTGAACAGCTGATGGAATTAAGATAAATACTGGGTCCTGAGTTGTTGTTTTAAGTTTTCATCAGTCAGGAAGTTTTTACACAGAGTCGGTCTCCTCCTCTCCAAAACAAGCAAAACAGCTGATAAAGCTAGGTATAAAGCTCGTTAAAATCACATTCCTCAGGATGCTCAGGTGAAACAGATGTTAGTCTCGCCAGCTGATCTGCAGCTCTTGTTGGCTGGAAATGTTGTAATAACCTTCCAAACTGTCTCGATTTTACTTTTGTGTTGCTTTCTCTGTGCTAGAGGTATTTTAAGAACTTTATGGCTTTATCCAGTTTGTGTAACAAACTTTATCCTGTCTCTCTTCATTATACTCCTACACAAAAGAAGCTGCTTTAATGGTCAAGCACAGCCTGTAGTTTTTTTTATTATATTCCAATCAAATCTGATGTTCATTTTTAAATGGTGCTCATGGTTAGTGGTTACAAATAATGACGCCTGTGCATCGGGTAGAGGTTCACATCAACCGGAGAATGAGTTTCAGGATCTCTCTCTATTACCAGGCCTCCTTATTTCATTTTCCTGGCATCTCTGTTGGACATATCAGTGCACGTGTTAACTTTGGTTAACAGCAAACAGTTCGTAGACCAGTCCACTCACTTCGGCTGATTAAAGTCCATGTTGTGACATTTGTTCAGATGTATAAACTTACTTGATGCAACTTTCAACTCCTTCATTTATCATTAAAATAGTCTCAATAAGTCATTTTAAACCACTGGTACTCAGAATCTAGGAACTCAGATGAAAGTACTTTATCTCCATCTTT